ACGAATTCAGACATGTAGTCACATGTGCCAACTAAACAAAACCCCGCTGATATAATCTCCAGTTACAACATAACAAGTTATGGTGGAATGGACTTTCTTTGGCCCAAGTCCAACTATGCGTCAATTCCTGTTCCTGATTTAGAGGAAGTCAAGCCTACCTGTTTAACCATTTTAATAGATGATAGTCTGTTAGAAAGATATTCGTCTTACAATCGCTTGATTCATACGGTTGCTTTCGTATTAAGATTTCTTCACAACAGTCGTCTTAAAGGAGAAAGCCGTCAAAACAGACTTTCTGGTTCTTTGCAGCTGGATGAAGTTGAAAATAGTAAAATTGTTTTATCCAGGCTCGTTCAACAAAAATATTTTGCAGAAGAAATTCATTGTCTGAGCAAAAATTCCTTAGTCCCTAATAAAAGCAAACTGAAATGCTTGTATCCATTTCTGGATAAATCAGGTCTAATTAGAGTTGGCGGGCGGCTGTCCAATGCGGTCCTTCCCTTGGAATGTAAATTTCCTATAGCAATCCCTTCAAAGGGAAACTTTACTAAACTAGTTATTTTAAATGCTCATGTAAGCGATTTGCATGCTGGGCCACAACATGTTTTATCACGCGTTAGAACTGAATTTTGGCCTCTCAGCGGTCGTAGAACAGTCAGATCAATTTTGAGTAAATGCATAATTTGTTTCAGGACAAAACCGTTAACTTTTACACAAAAAATGGGAGATTTGCCCGCTGACAGAGTTAATGTTTCTCGAGTTTTTTCTAAAATTGGTGTGGATTATGCTGGTCCTTATTTAATCAAGGACAGTAAGTTCAGAAACAGAAAATATATAAAAGCGTATATATGTATTTTTATTTGTTTAGCCACGAAGGCAATTCATATAGAGCTAGTTACTGAGCTTACTGCCGAAGGTTTTTTAAACATTTTTAAGAGATTCGTAGCTAGAAGAGGTCTTTGTTCAGACATATATTCTGATAATGCTGGCAATTTCACTGCAGCTAATCGCGAACTCAAAGAATTTGTCGCTTTGTCGAGTACAGACAAATTTAAATCCTTTTTAATTATATCTAAAATAAGATGGCATTTTATTCCCTCTCGCTCACCCCACTTTGGAGGTCTATGGGAAAGTGCAGTACGTTCAGTAAAATTTCACCTCAAAAGAATAATTCATAATGTATATTTGTCATATGAAGATTTTTACACGTCAATTTTAAATTCTAGACCCATCACCCCTCTCACAGAAGATCCAAATGATCTTCAACCTTTGACGCCAGGTCACTTCATCATTGGCAGTGCATTGACTTCATTTAACGAGCCAGTTGTGAGTTCCTGTCCAACTACTTTGGTTTCCCGTTATAAGCACATACAACTGCTTGTTCAACATTTCTGGAATAGGTGGTCTAAAGACTACTTGCATCACCTACAGGTCCGGTCCAAATGGTCTGCAGATCCCAAGGCTGTTGAACTAGGAAGTCTAGTCCTTTTAAAGGACGATAACACTCCTCCCCGAGATTGGAGATTAGGAAGAATCGTCGAGTTACACCCCGGCAAGGATAATATTGTCAGAGCTGTTTCCATAAAGACACAAAATAGTGTAATGAAACGTGCTATGACAAGGGTTCCCATTTTACCAATAAATTGTTGAAACATCAGTATACTTCAAGGCGGCCGGTATGTTCGGTTTCAAATGACTCAAAGACGGTCCTGAACTTTTTTAAACTCTCGCGCCATCGTTGATGTAACTGTTCGGTGCGCGACGCTTGTGTCAGCCTCGAATCGGACTGAATCGCCATGTGTCGTGCTCTCGTTTGTGTGCTTCGTCTCTGTCAACGACATTTTTTAAATTATTATAATTTTGAATTTCATGAAGCATTGTCTGTTGTCTTTGACAACTAAAATTGTTAATTTACAAATTGTACGTAGTTCAATAAATGTTCTTAGTGTTCTTTACCTATAAATTCAATTGGTCCTTCGTTTTGTTTTATTTACATATTGTGGTTTACAACCTAAAAAACTTGTGTTGTATCACGATACCCGACAACTAGCGCTAGCTGCGGATAATTCGTGCATTTTAGGGCGATATTTTGTAATTTTGGCATATCAAATACACGTATACATTTTACTTTTTTTCAAAAAAAGTAGGTAAAAACAATACAATAAGCAACCGGAGTTGCTGTGTTGAAAATTGTACAAATACTAGCAAAAAAAAAAATAGTGAAACTTATACAAAAAATTTCAGTAGCAAAGTGGAAATTAAATCAAAGAAATAAATGGATAGATATACAATAAGAAGAAAAATTACCTTTATTTTTGTAATAATAACCGTAATGCTGCAAATAGTAGACATCAGAAACTTGAAAGGTTTTAAATAAACAATAAATTATCATTTTACGATGTTCTTTAATATCCCTTTATTCTTAAATGTTCATTCAGCAAGGACTAGATTTCAAGATTTCTGCCTTTGATTATTATATGTGGTTGGAACGCAATTTTGTAACTTACTGATGGGAAACCAGTTTTAATCATTCATTCTGTTTTCTTTCGAACAAAAATGAAAATATAAGTAATGATCCTTTTTTTATACATTTTAACTTCACGCTATTATTAAATGGTATTTTCTTATTTTGACAGAATAGACTAATTCGAAAACTTATTGGACTCAGGCAATTTCTCATACATTTTCCAGTAAATACTGTTGCCTGCCTATATTTTATTACTGATTTTTATCGATTATAAATAATTTTCTTTAATTTAAGCGATAAAAATATATAATAATAATAAATTAATGTTTTACAAATCCATATACTTTTATTAAAACTACCATATATACTTTTTAATTACGAATTCTAATAAAAGTTGCATTTGTCAGTATACGCAGAAATAGTCCATTAGTATCAAAACGAATTGGCGCTGCTGTCGCGCACGGAGCGAATACATAATTTCTATAAAATGAACCGTATTCGAGATATTTGAGAAATGTGTAAATTTCGAAATTTGAAGAAAACTCAAAAACGGATAAAGAAAAAAACATAACATTTTAAATTTAAGTTTTATTTCGGCCTGACGTGAAATAATTAGATTTTGGACAAAGTCGGAACATCTGGGGGGTACTTTATGGGAGGCCGTTTTTATATTTTATGGAATATATCTGTTATTTATGTTTGGAGAAAAAAATTGTTCAAATAAAAGTTACTTCTAATATTATTATCTATAATTTTTGCTTTATGTAATAATTTCCTGAAATGGTCCGTATTCGAGAAATTTGACAAAATGTGCAAAATTCTGATTTTTATGAAAATATTTGAAATAAAAGTTGTTTGCGATATCGATCTCTATAATTTTTGTTTATACATGATTTTTTTAAAATGGACCGTAATGGAAAAGTGCTAAATTTAAATTTTTCAGTATTTTCGTTTTCAATGAATATCTATAGAAAAATTTTTCGAGGTAGATGTATGTGGACAATGTATATATTTAGTTTATCCTCTAAACATTTATAGAGATGCTGCAATAGGTTGTACAAAATAACCGGAAGAAGCCTGTAATAACTAGATAGGAAAGTCATGTGTTGGACACATCAGATTTTTTTCTTTACTTTGTTCCATATCTCAGGTTTACTTGCGTAGTTTAAGGGGGGCCAGGCCTCCTTCGTTGCCGTTCATCGTCTTACGAATCCACTAGGAGATATCTCATCCACTTTTTGTCACAATTTCGGTTAAATTTTGAAACACTTTAGCACGCGTTTTTCACTATTTGTCGCCAAAGTCGAAGTCCGCGCTACATCTGATATACTTATTAGTAATCTTGATTGGGGTTAATTCAGCTATCGAAGTGGATTACGGCCATTACGGTAAAACCAGAGTTGTCCAACGACAACGGTGATTAAAAATAAAAATATACAAAATTTAAAATTGACATCCTCAACCTTGAAAACTCGAACACGTTCAATAAATCAATAACTAGTCTTTATAACATAACATTGTTGATGCAAGGTTGTCGGATCTACCGAAATAGAAAGAGTTTCCATAAATCACAATATAACTAGTGATGTTTTTCGTCTCTTTTTATATAAAAAATTGAAATAACTATGTTCTGGTTTCAAATATTTTTTATTTTGTTTATGTTAGAAAATATAATAAACTTATTGAACTTATAATATATTGGTACCAAATGAACGCTATTTTTTTTATTTATTAAACTTGACAACGTCGCCTAGTAATAAAATTGAGCTTCCAAATTATTAGATAAATAATAAAAAATACTAAAAATCTGCCGAAATTATTGTTGCCAAATGGTTCAAACAGCATGACAGAATAATTTTGTTCTGAAATCAACGAGATGGTGCTGACATTTTAGTTGAACCACTGTTGAATAAATTGAACTACAATTACCATGTAAATGAGTATTCTAGCGCTATCTGTGAGCATATTAAAGAACCATGGAGGAAATCACAATGTTAAATGTTTTTATTGCAAATTGCATCAATCCTAAATTAAATTTTGTTTATTTCGTCATCTTTAATCTAAACCAAAACTCCAAGTGCATATTTCTACCAAATTCAGCATGTTCGGAAAACGGCAATTTTTCTAATATTCCTGTTATTTTGACAATTTTGCAACTATGTGTGTTCGATTAAACGAGTCATCAACGACAATGTATACCTTTTCATTACATTCTTAACATGACATTATTAATGTTTGAATGTCTAATCTTAACCCTTTCACTGCGGAAACCGTCTATTTTTGAAAATGAATAAAGTGCTGTCATTGTGAGAAACGACTTTATAGAACTCCTTGTTTGAAGAGTTTGATGTGGGAATTGATTATTTTTAAATTATATATAAAATAATCACTTGCTGTAACAAACCTTTAAAAGCGAGTTGGAATATAGTCATTTCCAACAATGATGGTACCCTATTCATTTTCAAAAAAAGTCGGTTCCTACAGTGAAAAGGTTAATATTAATTTAAATGTTCTATAGTATAAATTAACTTACAAATATCTAGTGAGATCCTCAATATCAACCAACATAGAATCTTGCTCCATATGTAGATCGTCTCTGGCCATTAAAAATTTGACGAGACTTTCGTTCAATCCCTCAATTTGCGTATGCAAATCATTGACGATTACTTGTAGTTGTGCAACATTCATGTCTGTCAAAATTTGACGCGAGAGTCGTCGTTTATCTTCTGGGAAGGGTATTCCAACCTTTTCCATGGAAGTGCGAATCATTTCGGTAATAGGACTTTTCTTCAGTCTCTGTTTTTCGATCTAAAACAAAAAAAAATTAATAGAAGTTAATACTTTTAAGTTTGCTTCCTGTTTTCAGATAAAGAGTCCAAAAATTTATAATTAATTGGTAACAAAACTTTTAATTCAATTTTTTCAAAACAGAAAAAAAATTATTGATATGATTGCACAAGATAAAGAAGAAATAATTCAGAAAATAGAAGCAATGATAAAAATTAATAGGGAAGAAACAGAGAAAATAAAAGAAGTAAGATGTATTTTTGAAGTGTATAAAGTTAATAAAAAATCGGAAGAAAATTTAGAATTAAATAAAGATATAGAAGTAAACATAGAAGAGTTGAAATAAACATAGAAGAGGTAGATGCAGAAGTAAAAGACAATACAAATTGAAATTGAAAAAAAAAAAAAAATAGATTGACGAACTATCTGAAAATAACAATTCTTGTGGATGTAACAGTACCCTAAGCATAATTCTTAGTCGAAGGACGTTTGGAATATTCAAGAGCAAGTCTAAAGCGCCACATAAGTATTTAAATAGATTAAATTTGGAATTCAGGAATTTATTCCTGAATTTCCTTCATTTTTCAATTGTTTAGGTAATTATAATCCAACAAACATTTTTCATTTCATCTTTCAATTATTAAAAAGTAATTAGATTGTTCAAAATTAAGAAAAAAAACTTATATTTTGTTGGCGACAAGAGGGACCTGCTAACAGAACTTTTTCAATGTTCCTACACTGGGTATTCCAAATTTTAGTTTATCTTACCTCCATTTGCATTCGAGCCATCTCTTTGGCTTGCGCCAAAGCCATTCTAGCTTCGGTCTGCAATCTCGCCTGTCTTGCAAAAAAGTCCATCTCGTTTAAGGGTTCCCTCATTATCTGCGAGGGTTGTTGACCCAGTGATAACGTCGCTGGTCTAGTAGGTGGCACTACAGGACCGTTTTCAATTTTAGTCGGAGATTTTAAAGAGTTATTGTTGGACTTGTGATGTTTGGGGTTCGTCATGGGACACTCGGAGTCTGAACTGGGACTGTCGGTGTCCGAGAGCGATTCGTTCATGAAGCAGATTTGCAGGTTCATCCCTAGAAATTAAAAGAGTAATAATAATTTTAATAATAATAATCTCTATTTAAAAAAAAAAAAAAAATTGACAGATAAAAACAAATATTTGTAACTGATAGTACAAAATGAAATGGTGTCCAAAACAAAACAATTTTTAATTTAAATTAGAATCTAAAGGTTCTAATTCCATAATTAGTTTTTAAGTTTATTATTTAAGAAATAATTTTTTATTCTTAAAGGTAGTTTATTGTAAAATTTTATTGCCATGTAGTATGGAAATTTTTCAGTGATTTTTAATTTATGATATGGATAATTCAGATGGTTTTTCCTACTGTATAGTTATGAGAAATTGTACTATTATAAATAGCGTCTTTGTTTTTATTAAGATACATTAAGCATTCAAAAAATATATAAATTATAAACAGTCAAGATGTTATTTGATTTACACATGTCCTGCAGGATTCATTAAGTATTCTCACCAGTTGAGGCTTGTCTAAGGGGCCAAAAAGCCTTGGCACTGGCGCAAAATTTGTAAATATTTCGGTCTCTAAAAATATTTCTTTTTCTATTAATAACAATAATTATTACAATTGTCGGATCAAATTATGACTAAAAGATACATTATATAAATTATTTATCATTATTTAATTTGATTCCGTTGAAAAAACTTACGTCGTATTATTCCTAGACACAACAAATTTAATAATTCAAGCAATTGATTGTCCGCTGTCTATTCGAGCACATCGACCAGTGGCCCGGCTGCTTACATATCAATCAATTGTAAAAGTTTACTAAATGTCACGCCATTCGCTTCTTATACATTCATACGGGGCCACATTTCAAGCGGCTCGGAATGAATAGTTAGAATAGCATTGTTTCAATCGCGTGTTCGGCATATTGCTTTTGACATTTTAGTTAGTTAGAATAGTTGAGTTTTTAAAGTATAATAAATTAAAAATCGTCCAACAGTCCGAAGCAAAATGAATAAAATAAGCAATCTGTTACTGAAACCTTTTCTACTCACTCGCTCGAGGAAAAAATCCAAATAATGGAACTTGGGAGACCTCTTCCCGATTTGGAAATAACAAAAACGTAGAATGCTTCCACCTCAAGTTCGTCAAAAATAACTAAATTTGTGGATGTGATGAAAAAACACATTTTTTTGTTTTGTGTGTGTTTTGTTCGGGGGCGAGATTCTTCGTGGACGATGCATGGTGTAACTGATTTACACATTTATGAGAAAATTTAAACACGAAAACAGTAAGGCACATGTAAATAATATTTTTAGTTATTCTTTGCTTGGAAAATCAAATATACTGACTCAATTAAATTCCGCTTATCGACAAAATATTATTGCCCACAATAAACAAGTTAATAAAAACATATATTTTAAACATCATTATTAACTGTATTAGATTTTGTGGTGCATTAGAATTAGCATTGCGCGGACATGATGAAACCGAAGAATCCAAAAATAAAAGAGTGTTCCGAGAATTGATAGATTTTAGTTCTGAATTAGATGCAGATTTAAAGGAACATTTCAACAAAGCAACAGTATTTAAAGGTACCTCTAAGACCACACAGAACGAACTATTGGACTGCATGCTTGGCTTTTACCATGAAGAAGTGGCTAAAGAAATAAAAAAAAAAACGAATTATGTAGCTGTAATTGCTGATGAAACTACTGACGAATTTAAACGAATTTAAATTGGTCATTATTCTACGATACATTCCCTCCATTAAGCCAGTAGAAAGATTTTGGAAATTTGTAAATCTTCTCGGATACAATGCCATTTCAATGGCAAATTACATTTTAAATTAAATTAATCCATTAATTAATGACACACCAAATAAGTTGATCACGCAGAGTTACGACGGAGCGTCAATCGTGAGCAGAGGTATGAATGGGGTACAAAAAATATTAGAGATAAATATTCTTTAGCAAATTATGTTCATTGCTATGCACATCAGAATAACCTTATAATGAGCGGTGTAGGTTCAATTAATACATCTGTTCTGATTTTTTCGCTCATTTAACTGGAATTTGTGCTTTTTTTCTACATCACCTGAAAGAACAAAAGTATTGGATGATATAATTCATAGACGATTACCACGCTCATCACAAACGAGATGGAATTCCTAATCACGAGGAGTTAATACAGTTTATGAATACCTAAATGAACTGAACACGTTATGGATATTTTAGAGAAGGACAAAGATATTAAATTAAATTCTACGATTGAGCAAGCCGGTGCTTATAAACTTAGATTACAGGACAGAGATTTCATATTTTGGTTAAAAGTTTTTCATAAAGTCATGCCACATTTCGAAATAATTTTTAAGCAACTGCAGACGATTAATACCGACCCTATCAAGGCTAAACAAGATCTAAAAAACTTTGAAAATGCAATGCAAAAAATTGGTAATGAAATGGATAAAATTATTGACAAAATAGACTCGGAGCTTATAGAAACCGAAGATGAACTTGTTGATGAAATCTGCCAATCGCTCTCAAATTATGCGAACTACCACCCCTACAAATTTGGACGCCAAGTTCGGAAACACCCTGTATACATTACTAATTGGTTTGCTGATTTTAATTTTAGACCACATACAGATTAGATTTGATCTAATTACCCCGCCTCGAATTTCAACTAAATACAGAAACCCTAGAGAGACTAACTGGGAAAGGTATGCAACATCACTTGGAGAGTATCTCGAAGAGGGTATGGTGGAAATAACGGGTGAACAAAGTCTTGACCGAGCAGTAGACCAAGTAAGTAAGGCTATTATAACCGCTTACGAGGAAAACTGTCCGGAAAAAACAAGGCAGCAAAGAACAAAACAGTCTGGTGGAACAAACACTTGGAACGCCTTAGAGGCGAAGTTCGAAGGCTATTTAATAAAGCCAAGTCAACCGAAGACTGGGCACTATATATGGCTAAACTCACGCAGTACAACAAGGAGATAAGAAAGACTAAAAGACAATCGTGGAGGAAGTTCTGTGAGGAGTTATCTGAAACACCCACATGCTCTAGAATCCACAAAGTCCTAGCTAAAGAGGGCACTGCAAACCAAGTAGGAAAGATGATGAAACCTATAAGGAGGAAACGTTAACAATGCTCACAGAAGTACACTTTCCAACCGGAGAAATATTGCTAGACCCGATAGTAACACACAGCCCTCAAAGAAGGCTTCGTAGGCCAACTCCTTTGGAATGGAGGCTAGCTACAGAAATATCGAGGCCGAATAAAATTAGATGGGCTACAAACAAATTTCAACCATACAAATCCTCAGGAGTAAATGGAATATATCCCATTTTACTACAAAAGGGACAGGAAACTTTAATTCCACATATGTGTCGCATATTTAAAGCATGTATAGCCTGGCGACATATACCAAAGGCGTGGTAAAAGGTGAAAGTCATATACCTTCCTAAAGTGGGTAGGTTTAATAATATGACACCAAAGTCGTACCGCCCAATCAGTCTATCGTCATTCATGCTGAAAACGCTAGAAAGACCAATAGATAGATATATACGAGACGAAATACTGAGAGAAAACCCTCTTAGCGACCGTCAATATGCATATCAGCCAGGCAAGTCAACCGATTTGGCCCTGAATGATCTCAACAGGCTACTGTCAAAATCCCTGGAGGATAAAGAAATGGCAGTAGCAACTTTCGTAGATATTGAGGGAGCTTTTAGTAATGCCCAAACAAGATCTATAATTAACGCCCTAGCAATGAAAGGGGTACCAGTAGTCCTATGTCAGTGGATAAAAGCCAGCCTAGAAGAAAGGGTAATAACATCATCTCTAGGCGAAGCTACATTGACATCTAAAGCAGGCAGGGGCTGTCCCCAGGGAGGAGTACTATCACCCCTCCTCTGGTCAGTCCTAGTGGACGAACTCATAAAAAGGCTAATATATGCAGATTTCTACTGCCTAGGGTATGCCGATGACCTGGCGATCGTCGTAAGAGGCAAGTTCGCAGGTACAATATCGGAGCGCACACAAACCGCTCTAAACATTGTTGACGAGTGGTGCAGAGAGGAGGAACTAACAGTTAACCCTCACAAAACCACACTTGCAAAAAGTCGCCCAAAAGAGCACAACATCCTTCAACTTATGTCGAAGGCTGTGTGGAAAAAATTGGGGGCTACAATCGAAAATGTCCCTATGGTTATATACCAGAGTCATAAGGCCGATGATAACCTACGGGTCGGTGGTATGGTGGCCAAAGACTCGGCAAGCTGGAGCCATTCGACAGCTCAATGGTATTCAAAGGCAAGCATGCCTGAGTACCACGGGAGCTATGAGAACGACTCCAACAGCAGCTATAGAAGTCATGCTAAACCTAACACCATTTCATATATTCATTTAAGGCGAAGCCAAGTCTGCCACATACAGACTGCACAAAGGTTCATCACCCATAAGCAGTTTGTATGGACGTGACTACAGCGAGCTATATAAAGAGTTGGAGAACGACCAAATAATGGGAATGCCTTCAGATGAAATGCTCCCAAAGTATAGCTTTCAAAAGCAATATAAAGTATACCAAACAGGGAAGTATGCAGAATACATCATTGCGCAAAAGAGGTATCAAGACAGAAGGTAAATGGAAAAACCATTTGTCATATACTCAGACAGTCAAGCGACGTTAAAGGTACTCAGTTCCATGCAGGTACAGTCAAAGCTTGCGTGGGATTGTTTGGAAGCCCTAACAGAGCTGGGTAGTCAAAACAGACTAACCTTAGCCTGGGTACCAGGCCACAGAAGACATAAGGGCAATGAAGAGGTTTATTTACTAGCCCGAGAAGGAGCCTCAAAGGCTCTTATTGGCCCAGAACCCTTCTGTGGTGTAACTAAAACAACTATCAGAACATGCACAAAGCAGTGGATGTTTAAAAACTCTCAGGAGTAGTGGAAAAACTCTCCAGGACAGAGACAGGCCAAAGAGTTCATAAAAGGACCATCGCCTAAACTCACCGAGCATCTACTAAGCCTTAATAGGAAAAATA